GGAAGTTATATGACTTGCCCCAGGTCACACAATTAATCAACCTCATGTCTTGTCCAGTTGGATGTTTCTTGGGATCCTAACTTAAACCAAGAGACAGTCACAGGGTCTTTATGAGATAGAATTACATTACAAAAGCCTTGAAGGGGAAAAGCCCATTAGTTTCTTTTTTAACTTTTTAGTTGAAGTTAAAATGATTTCTAAAATTGCACAAATCATGAATTACCACAAAACGAATACACTCATGTAACCAGTACGCAGGTCGAGAAACAGAATGTCACCAGGAATCCAGAAGCCTCCCCCTTGGCCCCCATCACGATTCCCTTCCTTTTCCCTGAAACTAACCACTATCTTGACTTCTGACACCATGGTTAAGCTGCTTTTGAAATTTATATAAATAGAATTACACAATATGTATTCTTATGTTTGGGGCTTTTTTTTTTCCGTGTAGCAATTGCTTATGCATTCTTGTTCTATTCCATTGACTATATGGTAAATATGAATATACCACAATTACTTTGTTAGTTCTGCTATTGGTGGACATTTGGGTTGTTTCTAGTTTGAGGCTATGCCAAATACAATGCCGCTGTGAACATTCTTGTTCTTTTGGTGAAAATATATACACCTTCATCTGTTAGATTGATAATACCTAGAAGTGAAATTGCTGGGTTATAGGGTGTGCATATGGTCACATTTAGTCCATACTGTGAAATGGCTTTCCAAAGTGTTCACAGTTTAACCTCCTACCAAGCAGTGTGTGAGAATTTCCACTGTGCCACATTCTCACTAGTACTTAGCATTCTAAATCTCTTTACTTTTAGCCTTTCTGATCAGCATCTAGTGGTACATTTTTTTAAATTTGCATTTCTCCTGATTACTAGTAAAGTTGATTACTTTGTATATGTTATTGACATTTAGATAGTCTTTTATTTGTGAAATGCCTGTTCAACTTTCTTACACATTTCCTATTGGGTTTTATTTTTTTAAATTGATTTTTAGGAGTAATGTTTATGTATTTTGGATATGTGCCTTTGTTAGTTATATGTGTTGCAAATATCTTCTCCCACTCTGAAATTTGATTTTTCACTCTCTTAATGGTGTCTTTTTATGAACAGAAATATTTAATTTTAATAGAATCCAATTTTTTTATCTGTTTCTTCATAATTGGATGTTAACAAGTATTTCCATGTGTCAGCTGTTGAAGATATCCTCCTATGTTATTGCCTGCCTACCTTTCACATTTAGATTGACAATAGATTTAGAATGAATTTTGTTTGTGGTGTGAGGTAGGTGTTGTGCCAATAATCTTATATTTGCCTTTCTGGATTCTTTTTGTTCATACTTCACCCTGTTCTCTGCCCCAGGAAGCAGACCTGTCACTTATATTAATATGTAAGTGTGATGGGTTTAGTTAAAGTGTAAGAATTTCTTTGCCTCATAGGAGTTCAAGTTCACTAAGATAGTCCTGGTGTTAGACTTGTGACCATTATTACCTGCAGCCCTCTAGGAATTCTCTTCAGAGATACTCCCTTCATACTCTGTTGTTGTTGTTCTTTCTTTGTTCATGATATTACTGGAGGTATGCCAAACCTGGTATAGTTTTGGTATGTACTTGGTAGTCAACAGCTATTTAATAATTTTCTGCAAATGAAATGTAGGAAAGTTCTATATTTTTCTACTTTTCCTTTGGATATCTCCCAGGAAGAAATATTTGACTATGCCAGTTGGGCAAAAAACCCAAAATGTTTGGGTATTTTGAGATTTCTTTGTTAATCTTAACATCAGAGATACCCCTTAACTCAGTGAGGCATCTATCTAATAATTCATTGAGTCAAGTTGGCATTTATTCAGATCCCTTAGGCTGTAATAATTTGAGCATCCTGCATTTCTACCTGGATTATACATCAACTGACATTTCAAAGAATAAACAAATACAAGAGATTAAGGTTATTTTCTTTATTTAATCTTAGTAGTTAAATTCGGTCTAATGTAAGTGCTTCCATTTACATGCTAGAGGCAAAGCCAATCTACCACTCACTTAACATCATTTGATAAATTTTAGTTTTTGGCAGATGTCTTTTCTGTTCATTCCTGAGGGAAAGAGATAGTTCACATTTTTTGTTATTTTTATGAATTGTAAAAATAAACGTTGAATTTACAGAATGGTGACATTCAAGCTGACCCAGAACCATCATTAACTCTCAGGCAGTAACTTTGTACATTTCACACAGCCACATCTCTCATAGCTTTCTGTTTCACAAAGAATCCGAAATCACCAACCATTACATGTCAACTATAACCAGTATAGGATATTCTAGCTACAAATACGTGAAACTGTTACTTGGATGTGTGTTAAAGAATGTTTTAGAATCTCCCTTGCTATATAAGATAAATGATTACATTAACATTTCTCTTCAATGTTATTTTTTTAACTCATTTGAAACTATTTGCAGATAGAAATAGAACTATTTTGAATGCTGATCTCAATATGAAATATAGAGTCCACATAGTACACAAAAGTATTGATGATATAACATTCAGTAATCAGGATGCTACGGATTTTACATTAAAATTTAATTATATAGTAAAAAATAGAGTTGTTAGAGCTAGAAAAAAATATTTTC